TTCATTAGAGTCCTGCATCCTCCCTCCCTCCCTCCCTCCCTCATGGCAGTTTTACGCACCCCTGTATGGGAGCTGCTTTGCTATTTAAAACCTTTGCACCAAACCTGGGACTTTTTTCTAATGTTCCTTGGCTTGAGGATAAATGTCCTGAAGTTCATCTTGGACTTTTTCTTAAGCCTAAGGAGAAAAATAAAGATCGTGTTCCAGTTCTGTGTTTATGTAGAATGAATGTTACTGTGAGGTCAGACTATAAGCACGCCAAACAGATCTGTGATAAAGATGAGTTGAGAACTGTTTTCAGAAAATACAAATGAAACTATGTACATTAGGTAAAGTGCTAAGATAATTCTTATTTGCTTTCTCTAATGTAAGATATGCTCTTAGGAAAAAAAAAAAAAAAACCCACATAAACAGTCCTTTGCTGGATAATGTACCTTTGCATTTTGTTGCAGAATGATGAAATTGAGCCTACAGCGTTTACTTATGAGAAATTTTATGAGCTTACCCAAAAGATATGTCCCCGAACTGACATAGAGGAACTCTATAGGAAGATGTAAGTTTAAATTTAATATGATCTTATTTTAACCTTATTTTACTGTAGTTTTAGTCTATATCTAAAAGTGACAGAGCACTGTAAAGACTCTCTGTGAATCCTAGTGCTATCAGCAGTATTTTAAGACAAACTCAAGTCTATGTTTTCCCCGTCCTTCCCTCTCAGATTGCTAATGTAAAAGTTCACTGTGTATTTTGTAGCAACTTTTACATGAGTTAAAAGAAGCACCTGGAACTTTTTATTTTATTTTATTTTATTTGCATTGGCTTTACTAACTACTGTAATTTTAGCTTGCTCCTTTTAGGTGATTAACGCAGAATGTGAACTAACTAAATTGAGTAAGAAATCTGATGATCTAAAAGTTTCTTTGTTCAAATTATTCTCAGCTGGAAGACTTACATATTGTTTTATGAAGTAGTATCTACTAAGTGTTACCAAATATAGGAGATACACTGCACCTAGCCTAGATAGATAGTATGTATTCTGTGACTATTAATTTTGAGATACAGAGCTACTTCAGGTAGAAAAGTAGAAGGTTTTAAAAGTATCGACAATGTCAGCATGTAAATCATACCTACTGTAGCATCGTATGTGAAAACTTACATTCTCTAATAAATTTCTTTTCAGCAATGGAGACAAAACTGATTATTTAACGGTAGACCAATTAGTGAGCTTTCTAAATGAAGTAAGCTTTTTCATACATTAACTACCATACAAGTCTGTCTGCAGTGGCTTGCTTCTTCCAGTCTTTCCATTGCATGTATCATGCCATTATTTGCTATGCTTCTGATCTGCTGATCTTTCCATTATGGTAACATCCAGGTGCAAAAATCAGCTTCAACCTTATGTGTTCTTGTGCTTTCTACATGTTGGCTTTGCGGATTGCGTCTGTTAATTACTTGTGGTTGTGTTATGTTGTGTGTTACATATGTTTTATATGTTTTATACTGTTAAATTCAATGCAATTTTAGCTAAAATACTTCAGTATTTTATTATAAGCAATATATTTTACCTATAGGCCACTGATAAATATAGCTGCTAATCCTTCGGAATCATAGGAAAAAAGGAAGTGGGCTTTTATAAACAGTGTTTTTTTTCCATCTATTACAAATCCAGGGTTTGAGAGGATATTCTAGGGGCTTGTCTGTGATTTTTGAATTACTGTATGTGTTGAATAAAAGGAATTATTTTTATTGCTGTATTTCCAAAATTCATTTGTGGGCACGAGTATTTACTATTTCTTAAAAATATCATGAGTGTGAGAAGTACTTCAATAAACAGTGGGGTTCTTTTCTACTCCTAAAGCACAGTAAGTTACAGAAGATTGATTCACTCAGAATTGCAACAACAGCTGGACTGTGTGAATTTGACAGAACATATACTTGAAAAATGAATACATTCTCCCTGGTGCTGTACCAGTAGATTCTTGTCATCTGGAATATAGGGAATTGTTTTACTTCCGTATAGGAGCTTTTAGGGACCAGGTACCTTTACCAAAAATTTCTCTATCTAAAATTATTTTACTATTTATAAATCTATTTTATATATTTTGTGTATTTTTGATACTACTATATGAAGATGTAAGCAATAAATTGCCCTTGCCTTCTTTTTTTTTAAAGTAAGGAATGCATGCCTTATTCTTCATGAAAACTGAACTACATGTAGAAAGAGTATTCCAAAAGAAATGATAGTGAAAAGATTAACAATTTCATCACTAATGATTCCACATTTGAGGTCTCAGTTACCATCCACATAGTTCCCTCTATTGCCAAACGTAAGCACATGCTTAATGTCACTACTGTGAGATGTTCTTTCATTGTAGTTATTTACAGAGTTAAGTGTCTAAATGTTGGCAAGACTCAGTGTCATAGTTAAGGTATGTCATTCTTGCTCCTGCACTGAGAAGAGGAAAGGCTTAAATTGTTATTTCAATTGTAAATGATCCTTTTAAAGTACTTCAGCCCCAAGCTGACTTGTAGCGATAGACTTCACTGCGTGAAACATAAAGCCCTGCCTTCACCTTGTCCTGTATTTACTTCTGGCTTTTTTTGTGTGTTAATCTTGAGTTGAGTAATTCCTCATTTTTCAGTATACTACTATTTTGTCTTTATTTTAAATTTGATTTATATAATTATTTTAGTTGAGAGGGTGCTTTCTGGAAGCTCACGTTTTTGAAGTGCCAGAAATTGTAGGAACTTCCTGGCTATCCCCGCTGTCTCTTCAATAAAAGCCTAAAGTTGAAGTGCTGTGCTCTCAGTTTTGTATGATTTTAGCAGGTGTTTGTCAGAATTAGAAGCCTTATTCTATGGGCAAGATGGAAGAAAGATGCATCTTGTTCCTTACATCCTATGGACATGGCAAATTTTTCAAATGGAGATCTTATAGTTGGCCCTTTAGTTGGAGACTGAAGCTGGAAAAAATTAGTCAAATGGTTTTATAGAGTGGGACACTCGGCTCTGATGATCTGAAACCCATTGGCTTTGGGTCTGTTCTGGATGTCTTTTGGTGTCGAAGGTTTTGGTCATGAATTCAAAGGCACTAAATGACCCAAAAGTGAAGTGATCCTGAAGGGATCGTTTTTATCCCCTTGACATCTGGCCAACACTTAAATCAGTGGTGATGTTTAATGCTGGAAAATATGAAAAGATTTTTATGATTATATAGGAGAAGAGAGTTGCTTGGCAGGGCAGTTCTTCATGAGAGCCTTCTGCCTAAATTATTTTGAATTCAGTAACCTCCAAGGCATGCTGCAGAAGCTGTTAGTTTTATGGGTTTTTAAGAGAGTATGAGGGTATGTTTCTAGGTATGAGTGGAAAGTGAAATGTTTTCCTGGAGTTTTCCCAGGCAAGCTACTGTCTCTCTTTGAATTTTAAATGCTGCTGGCTGACAGCTCATTTAATTGCATATCAATGTTAAAGCTTCTGGGAAGTTCTTAGAAATTTAATTATTGTCAAGTACTGAGTGTTTTGTCTAGGTCTTCTTTTTTTTAAAGTCAAATTTTAAGAAAGAAGAAAAGTAATAGAAAAACAAATGAGATCACTACTATTGAAATTTGCTTCTGCCATTCATTTGCAGCAATAAATTTTAAGCCAAGTAACTGTCAAAGTAGAAATTTAGTAGTCTGACCAGAACTCCTCCTTCTTCTGGGAAGGAGATATGAGAGCATCCTTTTTTGTTATTTCTCTCTCTCTCTCTCTCTCTCTCAACTTTCTCACTCTCCCTTTTGCACACACTCCCTTTCACTTTCTCTCTCTTTCACGCTGTCTCTCTTTCTCTGCATTTCCACAAAAGGAGACCGTTCTTATTGCTGCACAGAACAAATGCAAATCAACCAGCTGTTCTTTCTGTCCATGCTTTAAGATGGTTCATCCTCATACGCTTAAGAAGGTCTAGTGGAAGGGTGTCTTTCTAATATGGTAACTAGAACAAGCACAAGCAGCTATGTTGGACATATATGATTAGTCCTGGGGCACGTTATCTTCTGAATGAAACTTGATGCTTTTAGTATATTGTTTAGTTTTTGTGTAGTTGTGTTTGAGTCTGCAAATTCAGGAGTGCAGAACATTTCCTCAAGAGATGGTCCTAAATAATTTTCCGTTCTCTTTTTTTTTTTTTTAAGTCACACCTAAGCAATTGTCAAATTTGGTTTATTTTTTAAACTAAAGACATACTTTTGTTCAGATGAAAAAAATAGAGTGTAATAATCAGTAAGAAGAATATCTTGCCCTGAGCTCCTGACAGTAATTCTAAGACACTGTTTCCCAAGAGGAAACTTTTGCGTTATCCCATTTATTTTCTGCTGTTTTCTTTCAATTATCTGCGGAAGAAAGAGTGGGGAAGAGTTCTCTTTAGTAAAGAACCTTCCTTCCTCTTTCTTACAATTGTTTGAAGTGATATATTTTCACTAACGGTGTATAGCTTGTCATTTGTCACAGTAGACTGTATTGTTGCGTGCAAGACTTGTATTGCTGTTGCGTGGTGCTTAGCAAGTTATGTCCTGCATCCAGCTGCTTTCATTTCATGTTTCATCTGAGTTTTACTTACATATTCAGATAGCTGATCTGTAGTGAATGTAACTGCTATACTTCAGATGCTGCAGACTGTCATTAGCATTACTTGAAAGATCCCTCCTTATTTGCATGACTATATTGGCATTGGCTGTAATTTCTTGAAATGAATCAAGCAAAAGCACCAAAATATTGATTGGAAGAAAATAGTTAAGTTGCTTATTTTCAATTGGGTATTGTTTTTTTCCTTGGAAAAGAAAAAGTCAAAATGTTTACACGTAAGAAATTGCAGCAAATGCTGTTAGTGCTGCGCCAAGCCATATGGATACCATCCTGTCCACTCCAAATTATTGATGACCAAAATGGGGATGGCCTGTTACATTCTGAATTCTGCTTAAACTACAGCTTGAAAACTTTGCACCTAGTGGGATAAAAGGGTGTTTTCACGGTCATATTTATTTCTTTACATTTTATTGCATCTGCTTACATGCCACTACTCAGTTCAATTCTGTTTTTAATTTTTTTTAATGGAGAATCAGGCACACAGTGTGCAGCTCTAATCTGACATGAAAAAAACCCAAATATTACACAGTGCACTCTCAAATGAAACCTTAAGAACTCTGAATTTTAGCAGTATGTTAGAAATGACTGCTAAATTGTATCTAGAACATCTAAGTACTACATGTATTATGAAATCGCAATATCTTAAATTATTGTGAATAGAAGATACTGTGAAGTTTCTTAAGATTTGCATATTTCTTCTAAGAACCTGAGCTGATTTTTGAATAGTTCATGAACAATGTTTATATAATTCACAAATAATCAATAATTGCACATTTCTAAATTCAGGTTTCAAATTCTGTATTTATAGTATAGCTTTATTCTGCTTCCAAATTTTACTTTAGCTATAGATGTTGTGGAATATATGCATTTTTGTGGAGGTGATTACAGTGCCATCAGTCAAGTCTATCAGTTTACATGATCTACAGAAATGATTAGGAAGAAGAGAGAGAACTTACGAAGAATAGAGTTTAGCTATTTATTTTAAACATTTTCATTGGCACGTATACCATGTGCAATCATTGTTATCATGAACAAGCAACAGTAAGACCAGTTGTTAGATTACACTGGACTCTTTGGAAATATTTACAGACTCAAACTACCTAGCTTTCTTATGAAAGATAAGTTAGATTTGTTTTCTGTCTAATGCTAAAGCTACCATTGGATATTCTGTAAGTTTTAGTTTGTTTGTTTTTTTTTAAATGTCCACTTCTTTCTTTCTCATCTGCAGTAATGAAATGCTCTTGGATGATACCCGTGTACTATATCGTTTTGCTGAATTCTGTTGTTTTCTAACCTTAGCACCAGAGAGATCCTCGGCTGAATGAAATTTTATTTCCGTTCTATGATACAAAAAGAGCAATGCAGATAATTGAGACATATGAGCCAGATGAAGACTTGAAGAGTAAAGGTAAACAAATGGGAGGAAATTTAACATCGTTGGTCTTTAGGCATTTGGGCGACAAAGCATCTGACTTCTAAAAAAGGAGCTTACAGTCCTTGTGGTCAGCGGGCAAGTGCTTGTGTGGCCACCCAGGGAAATAGATCAGGAACATGATATGCTGAAAAACATCTCCTCCTCAAAATCGGTGATTTTTCGGAAGGTTTAATTCCCTGATCCAGGTTACGGCGTAGCCACACAGACAGCTGTCCTAATACAAAACGGGGGAAGCTAGCGCAAGGCTGGTCTTGAGTAAATGGAGAATAATGTGGGGACTCCTACCATCAGGGCCTCATACATGTGGCTGACTACAAAGATAGTGTAAAAAATATTACCCCGTTCTCCACTGGATATTCATTTAGCCTTCTTATATTGTGATCTGTATACTACCTGAGGGCAGCAGCCTAGCTTAAAACAGAATATTTTACATGGGTGCATTGCAGATGTTATGCTGTCTCTGAGCAAGAAGATTACAGACCGCAACCATTGTCTGCCTGGAATGCCTGCCCAGCTGTGGCTTTTTTCCACTAGACTCACTGTTTATCATCTGAGATCCGTTTTGTGCTGCCACTTTTAAGTTCACAGTGATCAACGAAATAAAAACACTTTTAAAGCTGGAAATTCCATTTTCCCTTCTTTTTTCACCTTCTTCCAAAACTCAGAAGCAGCTGAGAGGATCTGAGTAAGACTTTCCAGAGCAGTTCACCTTTGGCTGACACAAAGCCCAGAAAGCTTAAGCTCCACTACAGGATTTTTCAGAAGGCTATGAACAAAATAAAAAGCAGGATTATTGGAGTTCTCTGTGAAAGAGAGAAGGTTATCTTAAACAAAATAAAATTAGTGCTGTGACCTGGGTCTTAGCAATAGCTGAGCATCCGTATTTGACTTTAGGGAATGCAATTTCCAAATTAGTGGCAGATAATTATTCTTTGCTATGACTGTGTGTGAGTAATCCCTTCTTCCCTATCCCCCATCTTTTTTGAGCGTCTTGGCCACTTTAAAAACTAGTATTGCAGTACTGTTACTGATTCTCTTACCTTTTTTCCATTGAAATTTATGCCTTCATTTTTTTATACTTTATGAAGCACGTAACAGGGACGTAAGAGAAAGATATGGCAAATTCTGTCCTGAGTTAATGTAGTGTCCCACGTTCACAAAGAGAATGGCTTGCTTTTCTTTGTAACGGAATAAACGGCTGCAGGTATTTCAAACAATGAACTTGGAAGTATCTTAGATTTTCCATGCTTTGCAAATGAATACACATGAGCGTCTTCAGGTACGTCTTCACTTGTTTTTGCCAGCAGAGAACAATCTCTACGCGTGCTGCAAGCAAATTAACAGCAATGTAGCCACAGTCAGCGTAGGACTAAATGTTGAACAGAAGGGAAGGAGAAATCCCGTGTAAGACTATTAGATGCAAGCTCGCAATTTCTTGCTCACAAAGTCTCAGAGTCTGAAACTGTTGGACTATTCTGAGGATGCATCACTACATACTTACCTTGCTCCCATGCTCTTGACTCCTTAGGTCTACTATTGATAAATGCTGGAGACAGGATATTGAGCTAGATGGAACTCTAATTTTTTCTGATACAGCTGTTCTTATTTTCTGGGAACTTAGTAGCCAGATTTTGCACTGGTGACACAGTTGCTGATTAGCTTGAGTACTGGAAGAGGGACCCTCTGTTTGCTTGCAAAAGCTTGTGTAGATGTACCTTTTGTGATAGGGTTCCTGCTTTGGCAGGGTTCATGCCCAGTATAGATTGCTAATATTAAGTTACCTGTACTTTCTTCCTTCCTTCCAGGTCTCATATCAAGTGATGGATTTTGCAGATACTTGATGTCAGATGAAAACGCCCCAGTTTTCCTGGACCGCTTGGAGTTGTATCAAGAAATGGACCATCCTTTAGCTCACTATTTCATCAGTTCCTCCCACAATACATACTTAACAGGCAGGCAGTTTGGTGGGAAGTCTTCAGTGGAGATGTACAGACAAGTGCTTTTGGCTGGATGCAGGTTGGAAGCAGTAGATAATAGTCTTTAGTATTTGTGAATTTAAAAATTAAATCTACATAACATTCCTTAGCAGTAATATGTTGCATAATTGAATGTATAAATAAAAAAGTGTGGTAAATGAAAAGATGCATATTTAAGGGACTATTGTTCCCACAGAAAACACTGCAAGATAATGTATGAATTGGTTTCAGATGGGAGATGGGTTGTGATAAAGACAACAGAAGTTTGATCTCAAAATGAAAACTGAAGAGTTTGAGAGGGTTTTCTACCTTTTAATTCAGAAGTTTATGTGTGAATGAGAATCAGTTTATGATTTCCTGCTTAAGTTCTTGACATACTGTAAAGTTACAGTTAACCATGGAAGAGAATAAACAATGAGTACTAAGATGCTCAAGTGTGAGTATGTTCTCCCATACATACTGTATTTAGGGTAGTATATCCAAAGTTATAAAAGCAGTCTGAAATTACACAGGTGTATTTTAAAAGGAATTACGTTATGCCTAAAATTGCTTTGTAACTCCTGCTCCTGAACATCACTGATCAGAAATTGTCCTGAGTAGCTTGCTTGTAATGAAACACTAAGAAAGCTGATACAATTTTTCTTGGATATTTAGATGCGTTGAGCTGGACTGCTGGGATGGAAAAGGTGAAGACCAAGAACCAATAATAACGCATGGAAAAGCAATGTGTACAGATATTCTTTTCAAGGTAAATGTCTGACCACTACATCTGAAAGTAAGCCCAAATAAGTCTTGTCCTACTCCCCAGGACAAGAATCAGTGCAGGACACCCTCCTCTTCTCTGCACCCAGCTGCTACTCCCTTGCCACAGACTGACAGATGTCATCGATATGGCTTCTTGTTCCCAAATCTTAAGGCTCTTTTCTGCCTTGTGTCATACACCCCTTTTTCACATCCTATAGCTCTTTGCACAACAGAATAAAAATCTTCTCTGCTGCCTGCAAAGTTTTTAGCTGTGGAAGCAGCCTGGAGATGTAGGAGTTACACTTGGACTTGAAATCCTTCCTGGCAAGATGAGATGGCAGATACGGGGCTAGCTCTGATGGGTTCTGAGTGGAGCAGCCGTCTTTGCTGGAAGTGCAGTGAGCACTGTGGGGCACTGAATCTGGGTCGCTGGGGGATGTAGAGAAGAATGAGCATTCATTTTGTTCCTGTTCTGATTTCATTTGGCACATGTGAAATTTAGCTCTTTGTTTCTCAGGGTAGGCTGTAGGACAGAGAAAAAAATCGCTTTCATTACGATTGTAATTTGATCTGTTCTAATTTGAATCCTGTTGTTGCATTTTAAAGGACGTAATTCAAGCCATTAAGGAAACAGCATTTGTTACGTCAGAGTATCCTGTCATTCTTTCATTTGAAAATCACTGCAGGTATACAGTGTATCCCTTTTTTATTTTTAATAGTGCGGTGGATGAGAAAGATGATATGCTCAAAAATACTACAGTTTGAGAGTATTTGAAAACTGTATAGGGGTGTGCAGATATATTGGATCTCACTTGGAAGAGACTGTACTTTAATATCCTAGTCAAGCTTTAGCTGGCCTAATAAAGGCAATATTTTTATCTGTGGTAAAGCTGTGAAGTGTATTTGAACGTTCCATTAGCTGTGTGGTTCATCTGCTTTCTTGATCTTTAATATAAATTCATGTGTGTCAGATAATAGATTTTTACTGACAGTTTGTTTACGGTAAAATAATAGCTTTCAACTGAGAGAAAGTGGGCAGTGTATAATTTGGGATGCCTACATTAGTTTACTGTTATTCTCTTTTGCTGAGTAAGAGCGATTTCTTAAAAAGTTAACCGATGTCATATTTTCCAGCAAATATCAACAGTACAAGATGTCAAAATACTGTGAAGATCTTTTTGGAGATCTCCTGTTGAAGCAGCCTCTGGAAACCCATCCAGTATGTTGTTTTCTGCCTGTGTTTCTATTTTTTATATTAGCTGTATTTGATAGAGATGATAAACTGGGATTACATAACCTACTGTGGGAATGCTGTTCAGTTCCAGTCCTGTGCTTTTAAAAATGACTAGCGATTTTGGGTGTCTCCACTTTTTGATACAAACTTGTCCTTATCTGGTTTGTTTAATCTTTTCTGTGCAGGGCTTGGGCGAGCAGCCTGGGGAGCTCCATCCCCTTGATGTGTGACGTAATATCAGCTCCTATATAAAATACACCACATACATTGTATTTGTTGGTCATATGTAACTCTGAAATTGCCAGTCACTGTTGACAAACAATTAATTATAAATTGCATGGTCTCATCTGAGGAGGACGCAGTACCTCTTGTTTCAGCTGCACTTTGCATGCTTCACACTCTAGATCAGGCTCAGCAGGCTAGGTAGCCCCCACTACTCCATTAAGAATTAAATTAAGCACAAAGAGTTCCCTGCAGTCTCATTTAGGCTATCAAGTGCACTGTAATCTGCATGCACTTCACTCTCCTGCACAGCAGGAGATAACAACAGACACTCCTCCACAAACACAATATTTGAGGCTTAATATCTTGTTATCCAGCGCTTGCAGCTACACCTCCAGGCCTTTCTTAGTCCCGTGAACAATTTGCTCACTTCCTGTGCCAGCAGCCACCCAAACAGTGAACAAGCTGCCCTTCAGTGCTGTGGGAGACCATGGCAAAGAGGACTCTGCCTGACCTCTCGGCTCCTGACCCTGTGAGCCCCTGCAAAGTGGCCTCCTGGCATCGGCATCTTCAGGGCTGTGCTTTTTTGGCTTCCTTTGTGTGTGGCAGAGACAGCAACACTTAAGGCTGGGAGAAAATCAGGTTGTCACCCTGAAAGGTACAACCTAGAGGAAAAAAACCGTAGTATTTCCCTATGTTCCCCTGTGTCATCCGTAATACCTTGCCATGCTCTTCACAAACAACTTGCTTCCAGCAGCTTTAGGCAAGCCTAGAATAGAGCCAGTCAAAGGCTACAGTGCTGCTACCTCAGGCTTTCGTATTTAGCTTCAGCTGCCTGTGCTCCCTTCTGCATTTTGTCTCCGTATCTCCTCATGGGTTCATTCAGTCCTCAGCCCCCAGCAAAGCAAACGTTGCAAAGACATCCAGGGAAACTTGGAATACGTATTTCAGGAGCACTTGTTTCCTGGTGCCTCGACTGACTGAGGAGGACAGACCTTAAGAGAGACATGACAGTGGTTGAAGTGCATTTGTTTTTTAAATGAAAGCAAATATTTGTCCAAATGGCTCTACCCTATGCTTGGAGATGCTGACTAGCATCCTGGAGGCCTAGAGATAAATGATGTCTGCGGCACTGACATCTAGTGGAACTAAACATAAGTGATCTGAGGAGCAGTTGCTCAATGTGTACGCTGTCATCAGTGAGCAAGCCAAAACTCCCGCTGCTGAGCTAGCCTGGTGGTAATAGTTAATTAATACCCTTCTGCAAGGAGGTTTGCACCCATTATTGTGGCAGGGGTTTTTGTTGTTGTTGTTTGGGATTTTTTGTTTGTTTTTTGGTTTGATTTGGTTTTGGTTTTAGGGATTTTTTTTTGCCTTGGTTGGTGTTTGTCGTCTCTGCTTCTTGCACTTGGGTTTCAGGTTGCGATGATTGGTTCTTCTGTTTCTTCCTCCAGAATTCTGCTTCTGCCTAGCTCAGAGAGTTGGATTTAAGGATAAGAGTATCTCAGTATTTCTTCTAATAATTTTTGCTAGTCCTGACAATATCATCTAGTCCCACATCACTCATGCTTCACTGGGAACCATAGTCCATTATAACAGCAACTCCCTACATAGTGTCCTTAGAAGGTCTAAGCTGGAGAGGGTGCTACATACAGTACCCCAAAATCTGTTTCTGAGCCTCAGAGTGATGTGATGAAGCTTAGCTCAGAGGGTTTCATACTTTTTCCCTTTTCTCAATAATATTTTTCTCCTTCCCCAAACTGGAACAAACCTTTTAGTAATACACTTACCGTGTATGTGAGATTTGCCATTTAGTGCCTTTTACAAATACTGAAGACCTGACCCTGTAGCCCTACTGCAAAAAACAGTCCTCATCACTTAACTAAGAACTGGGTAGAGTTTTCCATTAACCAGTGCCAGCCCATTTTTACTCTGTAAGTATGTGTGGACTGCCTTGCTTGTGTTATTACAGCATGAAGGGACTATAGAAGGTGAGTTATTTAGAGATCAAATCATAAAAGGCTAAAAGGCTAAACTGTGACTTGGAGTATGTGTCAGGCACAGGGAGATGGGGAAAGCAGGAAGTCCTCTGATGAAGAGTTGCAGGCCACATCCATGCCCCCTGCTAGGCAGGAGACAACAGAAGACATTTTGATCAGTGCAGCTGAGGATGGCATAGGCTGGAGAGCAGTGTGCTGATTTCAGCTGGCAACAGTTACCTGAACACAGCTTTCCCATGCAATAGGGAAGAGCAGAGGAGGTTATAAAACTCCAGGCACACTGCCTCCCGGGGTTGTTCCTGAGGTGGCACTGCTTGCTCACTGCCCTGTACCATTGCTGTCCTGAAGTCAAAGCCCAAAACAGGGATACAGAGAGGTCCAATAGCTGTTATTAAGCCTTTTTTATTAATTATTTTACAGCTTGATCCAGGTAAAGCCTTGCCTTCTCCTAATGACCTCAGAAGAAAGATTCTCATAAAGAATAAAAGGCTGAAACCTGAAGTAGAAAAAAGTAAGTAAAGCTTGTCAAGTATTAAATTAAATAAAAGTCCAGACTTGAGATGAATGCACTTTATTTTTACTAAACTTTCCAAATTGCTACATTTCAATGTTGAAGAATATGTGTTATGAATTGTATGTAAATGACACTTTGTTTGCCGTTGCGTTTCATATGAATGCTGGAGTCTGGGCCTTGATATCAGCGTGTAGCATAGATAGACCTAGAAATGTAATCCTGGGACCTTATCAGATTGCTGTTCAAACTAAAATATAACAGATGTAATCTCTTGTAAATTCTGCCCACAGTGATATGTTTACATTGGTGTGTTTTTCCAGGATAAGCAAAAAATGAAATGGAATTTCAAATTGCTCTTCTTGCTATTATTGCCAGTTCTGATATTTATCTTCTTTCAGTAATAATAATGTTATCTTAGTTTCCAGTATGGCCGTAGTGATAAACTTCTTCTGCCAAAAATAAGCATGCAAACCTTCTACTGACTTCAGTGTTACACTGATTGTGTTCGTACTGTCTGACTGAAGTACACACGGCAACACATTTGAAAATCCAAGGTGTCTGCCTCCGTTTGAATATGGGGCATAGATCAACCACAGAAGAGATATTTGTCTGCTTATTCTTTCAAGAAATACTATATTACCTCCAAAGGCCTTTGAAGTCTGTGGAGGTGCTTTCCTTAACTTCAGTGAGCTTTGGATACAGCTCTTATTGACAGCTTTTCAGAACTAGCAACAGTTCATGTCTAATGACACTCTTACTCTGTAAAATTTTGATGCTGACGACAGCTTAATCTTGGAGTTCCCATTAAATAAAAGTAGACCTCAGAATCAGAGTGTTACTTATGTTTGTTTTCATTTATTTCATTTTGCTATGAACTGTTTATGACCTGACTGATTTCTTTTCTTTTTCTTATAAACAGAACAGCTAGATGCTCTGAAAAAGATGATGGAGGCTGGTGAAACAGCTGCCCCTGTAAATATCCTAGAGGATGATAATGAAGAAGAAACAGAAAGTGGTGAGGATTTCACAGAGAATCGCTCTCAGAGCATTGCATATTGTAAAACAGTGGGCCAGCATCAGCAACTAGCACGCGTATGTTACCCATGCAAACCACATGTGTGGTGTGTGGCGGCAGCAGTAAGTGTGGGCTCGGTGCAGACTTCCAGCCCCACCATCTCATCTCAGATAGATGCCATAACTGCTTCTGGCTCTGTGGCAATATGTGGTTGGCATGTTGAGCATTGAACACAGCTCAGGTGATGGTCCTAGAGGTAGTTTTTAAACTTATTTTTCGAAAATTATATTGTAGCAGTCAGATTTTCACTCTGTGGGTATGTGTGTACGTGACTGGGAGGCTGTGATATTTGCTTTGGAAACAGATTTTGTCACTATTTTTAATGCCTGTGTCAACATCAGATTGGACTACTGCATTGTGCTCTATATGGATAACATCAGCGATACGATTTTTTGTGCTAAAGTTCAGATATTACTGGTGTAAGCATCTAGATCTGAGCCACTGATATGAAATGTGTTTATGGCCAACAGAGAAAAATAGGCATTTCCACGATGTGATTCACATGGCCTGTTTTAGATTTCCACCTTCAGATGAGGTGAATCATACAGCGCCTGCAAGCGTCTGTCCCGAGGTACTGGTCTGTGACCCATTTTATACTGAATGTCCGAGCTATAGCCTACCCCTTGGTCCTTGATTTCTTCATATCGGGAAGCTGCTGCCATTGCAGTCAGTAGAAGTCCTTGGGATAGATACTCTTTATGATCCAAATCTGTTGTCCGTTCTTGCAATGCTGAAGAAGACTGAAGCACAAGGATTTTTTTGGATGGGCCTCTCAGTATCTTTCTTCAGATGATCCAGGAACACAGAGGACATGCTGTTTGGCAGGCTGAGTCCCACTTGAAATGATTAGTTCTAATAGTGCTACTATTGTGTTGCATTATTAATTACATGCTAGACTACCAAGAGGCTCAAATAAGTATTTTTTAAAATTATTATTTAAATCCTAACAAATTATATACTTAATGATTTTAGTTTTGTGAAAGGCCTTATTGTCTCCTTTAAGAACTCGTAATTTGTTATGGAAATGACCTTAAAAATAAATTTAAAGTATCCTCTGTAATAGGGATGTGTGAGGAAACTCTTAAAAACACACATTAGAAATCTGGACATTAGCAACTTTTTACATCTTTGTTTAAAGAACTCATCTTCATTTCTTGTTTATTTCCCCAATCCTATGCGTTTTTACAATTTTGCTAAGCATATTAATGATTCCTTCAGAAATACACTAAAAAAAGTCTCTCTTACTAACCATTATAAAGCCCTAAGAATCTCAGGCCTTGGCTGTAGTTTACTGCTAATGCTTGGAAACCTAATGCCCTAGATTTTCCTTCTATTTAAAAAATCATCCAAACCAAACCTGTGCACTTGTCTGTCATATGTTTCGTCTCACACACCAGAACAGCAGCCTCTCTGTTTTTTGCACTAATCTTTCTTTTCTGTGCAGCTGACCAGGAAGAAGAAGCACATCCAGAGTACAAATTCGGAAGTGACCTTTCTGCAGATGATTACTGTCAAAAAGAAGCCGTTGCCATCAGTGTCAAAAAGGTGGGATTGCTTCTTATTTGTATTTCCTTGGAAGCTTTCCACGGAGATAGGTGTAAAAGACGTTCCATTTTGTGGAAGCATCACATGTTGTCAGAAGAGCTGAATGCAAGCTCTTCACTGAATTCTTTACCCTAGATTCGTGAGAACACAGAATTTTATAGCCCAAAATAGCTCTCTGCTTGTTCAGGTAGAATACTCATTGAGGAAATGGAATTAGTATGTAGGAAGACAGTGCACAAGAAGTGGAGGTTCTCACCAGAAAAGATAATAAAAGGCTGCTAGCAATTTCCTGCAATCCTGTCTCTGATATTTTACTTTGCATCACCATTTCAGAGCTTTAATGTGGGGAGGATATCAGTTTCCTCACTCGGTAATGCTTCCTTGCAAAGCTTTATCCTGTGTCTTCATTATAGGGATTCCCTGGGTCATTCCTTATTGGTTAACTCTTAGGGTAGATTCTCCTTTCCACCTGCAGCAAGACAGGCAAAGTAGGAAGATCATTCCTGCTTGGGGCAGTATGACAATGGGGCTATCTATACCAGGGAGCGAGCTGACAGACAGGATAAGAGTGCTTTTTATTCTACTGGTATTTGATTTAGTACAGTTTATCAGTCTGTGCTCAGTGACAGAATATTACTTGTTATAGCACTTGACAGTAATTAGATAGAGGACACTGGAATTCAAAGCTAAGCCTACTCTGGCACTGAAGGCATTAGAGCTGCTCACTACAGAAAAAAACATTCAGGTGCTGAGGTACTTTATCAGATCATATTCTCTTGTCACTCAAGCGTTTGTGGCCACTTCTCTCCTGCCTGGCTACCTTTGGATCTTATTCCAGTTGGAAGTATCAACAGGGGAGAGAGGGTATGTCTCTCTTTAGCGGTGTCACAGAGACATCAGACCTGCCTGCTTGGGTTGTCTTTCAGTCTGCATCCTTGCTTCTTCAAGACTTTTATGGATCCTCCCACTGAACTGTTGTTTAACTTGTTTGCTCTTGGGCTAATTTCACTTACCAAATCAGCAGGTCCTTAACTACCTTAACCTTTTTTTTTTTTTTTTTTTTTTTTCAGTTTAGTCAGTCATCCTTAGCATATGCCCTTGGGTAATTTCTTTGCTTCTTTGCTGATCAGTAACTTGATCCTTATTGTTTAGATATGTACATTCAGTGCCAAGTCACCATTTATCTGTCTGAGATTCTGAGTAGTGACAGCTTGTAATTGGAGGCAGACAGCAGGGAGGCTCACTTACCCATTGCAGGTAACATCTTGAGACAGGCCTTTTCCAAATGTGGACATTTAAAGCACAGTTTACAGCAGTCTTAACCCTTAAGTTTTCAGAGTCTGGACAGCCTGCATATCCAGATGATCCTTCATGTTCTCTGGGTGTGTCATTCTCTCATTCTTTTCTGAAACTTACTGTCCCCTGCATCTAGTGATTGCATTAGTTCGGACTTCACCATTTAGCATCCTCCCTCCTATTCCCACCGCTGGCCAATGGTTGAATATCATATCTTGTGTGCCCACATTTGAAAGATACTGCGACTTTTTGCAAATTTATGTGACAGATGAGCCACACAGGAAAGTGGAAGAGGTTATATTTTTTTGCTAAATACATTAACTTTTTGAGGATTTTTTTTTTGCCTTACTTATGAGTGTTTCATACTACGTTTTCTTTGGGTAATATATATATATTTTTTTCCCTTAGGCTGTTGAAGATTCTGAGCAAGAAAACAATAAAAAGGTGACACATAGGATGTTACATAGTTTGTTTTATTGCTTTATATATAAACGTACATATTACTTACCATGCATTCTTAGTGATTTAACAATTTTATGCACGGTTTCATTGCACCTACAGAATATTTTTGAAAGTCACTTTGCCTCCTTTTCTCCTGTAGGGTTTCTTCTTCTGCTGCCCTTTTATACCAGGGTTAGGGCTGTCAGAACTCAGCACTAAGTTGGGGACAGACAGGAGTGCATGGCTTGTCCCAGCTTAGAAGTGTCTGATCTCAGTGCAGGTACCTACCTTTACATGTCATGCACTGGGAAAGGGCAGTCCCTTGAGAGGTGCTGAGATGTATTATCCCTGTTTCTTTTTTCCACTTCCCTTACCTTACCTGCACTTTGTTTTCCTCTTTCTTTTTCTTCTTTTTCCTTTCCTTTGGGACTTCTGCGTTTATCTTCTCCCAAGAATCCCTTGTTAGACTCTTCCCCTCCTTTCACTCTTCTCCTTCCTTCTCTTCTCTCATTAAAACTGCTCCTGTTCCTAACCGCACTTTGTTTCAGTCTATTTTGTTTTCTAAGGGGGTTCTGCTTCTTTTCTTGGGGACGAGTGGGGAGAGGAGGTAGAGTGGAAAAACATAGCTCTCAACAGCTTTCCCCCATTGTTTCCTCTAGCCCTAAAAAGGATGTGCTGTTATAACCATTCCTTCGTCTCGGTAGGCTTTAAGAAATGTCTCATCCTGCCCCTTCCTAATTCATAGTTTTAAAGTCCTGAATCCTTTGATGTGAACAGTGTGACGAGAATAGTCCTTTAACTCTAAAAATTATGTGTCAGTAGGTAAATAATTTAAATGTAATGATCAACAGATTGTCTTAGAGCATTGCCATGGAGCTAGTATACAGCTGTAGTCTGCAGGGTGCTGTTGTCTGACACTTAGGCGTACATAATCCTCTTTGACTTTCTTTTCACTGCGATTCGTTACTCAGACATTTAAGGGTCCAAATAGTAAAATGTGGTTAGCAGTTCTAAGCAGGCAGCAGGAGACACATTAAAGTCCCTTTTTACAAGATGGATGGTCAATTCTTCCTAAATAGTGCCCTTCCAAAAATGGAGACATTGAAAATAACTAGTTACTTTGAAGAACTCTGGCCTTAATTTTATCTAAACTTTATTAGCAAAAAATGACCTACTAACAAAAAAATGCCTATACTCTAGTAATAAAAGGATACTGGTGTTTGGCATATTTAGGGGACAAATTTGTGAATCCTCAGTATGTGAATTCCAGAGAAACAGTTGAGTTGGGTCCCAGTGAACAGCATTAAAATTATCAGTCTGATTTTACAAGCCGCTGGAAGTTTGATTCAGTCTAAAAGGCAAATAAAGCTATAAACACCTGGTCTCCTTCGGGTAACTAAACTGTTCCAGGCAATCAATAGATATGAGCCAATGCCGTTCCTTGTCACTGTAAGTACTCAGAGGTTAGACTGTGTTCCGGTTATGGGGATACCTGAAGTAAGAGGAGGAGAGCGGTATTTCTTCTCATTCTCCTATCATTGGCTGTATTAGTCTTATCGTATCAGGGTGTAAATTGTTTCATTTCACATGTAATTCATTTTCTTAAACATGTGTCAGCAGGTACATGTACATACCCATAATACTGGCAAGTAGATTCACATTTCTTTTTCTCATCTCATGAGTAAATGAGTTGCAGTAGTGCAAGTGCTGTGAAATAGGTGGTTCTTCCTTGCTTTAATGCTGTTGCACATGCTGAGGCTCATTGCCTGAAAAAGAACTTTGCCAGGCTTGCAGTTATTTATGGTTTCCTGAGACAGTAATGGAGAAGAACTTTCAGACAAACGTTTATTGCATTCTGAAAATAAAAAGCTGACTTGTAAGAGTGTTTTTGAAGATACTTACTACTTCTTTGGAGAAGTGCACTGTCTGCGTAGAGAAGGTTAGATTTTGGGGGGTGTTTTTTTCTCATTCATACAGTGGGTCATGTGAGAGTCCTAACAGACAAATCAGGTCTAGCGATTTCAGTAGAGGTCTTGTTTAGGACTATCTAATGACTAGTGGCCCTGTAAAAGAAGAGTTATTTTGGCTTTGGCACTTTTTTGGGGAGTTGGTGCAGGCCAAATAAAATATTTACCAGTAAGAGAAAAATGGAAACAAGTTCATGGGAAAAGTGCTGTGAACTGGAAGCCTTGCTGGGTTTGCTTAAATTGACAGAGGTCTGTCTTTTTTCTTTCCTTTTTTAAATGCAAAGAATATGTTTCTAACTGATTTAAGGAAAGGAAAAAGTTGGACAATAGATCCACAGAAGTGCTTCATATTGTGTGTTTCTAGCAGATCAGATGAATTGCAAAAATTTTCTACAGGCTCTTATAAATGTAGTGCATCCCTATGTGAATGATGGAGTCAAATTTTATCGTTCTAAGTGGCCAGGGATATAAACTTGATAGCCTTCCTCTTTTGGGTTTTGTGACATCTATCAGTCCAATGAAGGTTGCAATCCCTGTATTTCAGTTCGCTTTCATTAGTAAAGATTGCCAGTTGAATCCATTTGTGTTTTGATGTTGACAAAGTTGTACTCAGTGCAAAGTGTGTACTGTCCCCACAGTTGCTATCAGAAAATGTGTGTTAGATTTCAGTTCTCAGGATTCGCTTCACAAAGATCACTGTCTCACAGCATTGTTCAGTCCATTTTAACATTTATCTTTTATCTCAAAGTTGCATTGCTAACATCATATAACATTTACTCACTACTTAGGATCTCTTCTGTCATCATTCCTCTTGCATGCATCCTGTAACGTGAGTGTTTGGTGCATATATCCATAAGAAAATAGTTCTTAATTTGTGACATTAAATTCCCATTTTTCTTGTATTATTTTGCATTTATTTTAACTTTCTGCAGATATAATATAATATAATATTAACTTTCTGGGTGTAATTTTATGTCGCATTGGAACTTCCAACAATAACATTTGCACACACAAATAGTGATTATTCTTTTAAATGTTTTTTCAGGGTTTAGTAACTGTTGAAGATGAACAGGCATGGATGGCATCTTACAAATATGTAGGTGCCACAACCAATATACATCCATATTTATCAACAATGGTCAACTATGCTCAGCCTGTAAAATTTCAAGGTTTCGATGTAGCAGAAGGTAACATAAAAGGTTGAATGAAATAAAAGTATTTGTCTGCTTATTTTAAGTAGTTTTTAATCTCTCTGTTTCCAGAGTTTAGAAATGTAAGATTTTAATAGTTTAATGACTTTCATCTATATACTTAAAGATATTTGTTTCCTTAAATATAAAGTTAGCTTGTTATTCCGTTGGTCATCCACATGGAGTCACTAAATTACTGGGGGAATATGAAGTTGTTGAAAGTGATTGTATTCTCTAGGCCTTTCTGACTACACTGCCTTTTTTAGTTTGTTTTTCATTAAAGTAAGGTAAGCATGACCGCTGCAAAGGTCAGCAGTTAGCTTATGCTTTCACATTGCATACTAGAACATTTTTCATGTTGTTTCGTGTTATCTAGCAACTCTGTGCAGGCTCGGAATCATAGTTTTTTTCTACGCAAAAAATGAAAGTTTTGTTGATTTTCCTGGGAAGTGAAAGAATAAGACAAGTCAGGAATATCACTAGATTTATCTTCAGTATCATTTGATTATATGGATGACAGATAACGGGGAAACAAACCAGTATTTGCAGTACTTCGTTGAATAGTATATCCTGCTATTATGTATAGTGCATGATTGTGAATTTTGGTGCATCATTACAACAGCATTTTAAAATGTCTTTTCTTTCCTAGAACGCAATATTCACCATAACATGTCCTCTTTCAATGAGTCAGTTGGGCTAGGGTATTTGAAGACCCATGCAATTGAGTTTGTAAAGTATCCTTTTAACTGTTGGTGGCAATTCTCTATTAATGGTATAAATAAACAACAAATGTCCACTTCACTTATGATGTTCCTTGTCTATAGTGGAACAAAGAAGGTAGCTAGTAAGGTAAGGAATAGTAAGGAGTAATGTAAGAAATATTGAAAATAAGAGGATACAACAGTACATTTCTATGTTGTTTCTATTTCGTTTTCTTTAACGAATTGTACAGTTATAATAAACGACAAATGAGTCGGATATACCCAAAGGGAGGCCGAGTGGATTCCAGTAATTACATGCCTCAAATTTTCTGGAACGCTGGCTGCCAGATGGTCTCACTGAACTATCAGACCCCAGGTAAGCAGCGACGACCAGTGAACCTAAATTCTAAAGAATGGCTTGGGCAGTAACTCTCAGACAGATGCCTTGGTTTTGCTTCTGGCATTTTTTGAGGAAATAAGACATATGGCTAAATAATATAGTGCGGAGGGAATTATGGAAGCGTAAGAAAAGGAGCAATAAAAAAGCCGTGTATAGCACAAAAATTCAGTCTCCTTTCATGGAAAAATAATTGACAGAGTACTGTAACTTCTCACATAAATGATAATAT